GGTCTTAGCAGCTCTACTTTACATGAGGTGCTTGTTCCTTTGGGGTTCTGAATTATTGCTTTCAGCTGGTCTCAGGAAACACTGAATTAATTCTAGGCGTATTTTAATAACATGATTTGAATATGAAGTCTTGAGTGGGCCGCAGGAGCTCGAGTCCCAGAGTTCAGCCCTGAGAAAGCAGCCAGTCATGCTCATGGTGCCTACAGAGGGTCTGGAATCTGTTCAGCTGGCTTTACCAAACAATAGCTGGATTATCCAGGAGAGCCACTGACCTTATGTCTGGATAAATCAAAGCAGAGCTTCACACACACACACACACACACACCATACTGTACAACATTGTGAAACTTAATAAAAGAATGTCTGAATCTATAGATAGATATCAGAGATAAATAGTATTTAAATAAAAAAATTGCTCTATTATATATATATATATATATATACACACACAGAGCAGTGATATTTTAGTATCAATGATAAACTTAGTTTTTGATAACATTTTGAATACAATTTTTATATTTTTTGTTTTCATTTTAATTTTAGTGAAAGTTTCAGTAGTCATTTTTACTAGTTTTTACACACACACACACACGTCTTAGTGCTGTCAAAATTAGCGTGTGATTAATTTTTTTCAGTTTAACAGCATTAAATATATTTAACGCAGGGGTGGAGCTAGGGTTGGACCAGGCACGGGTCAAACGAGCGCGGAAAAGCTACAGGCGATGAGGAGCTTCAGTAGAACAACAGTGAACTGCACTCGGATCTCACAGATGAGATGCTGTCAGGCCATATGTCAGTAAAAAAACTATTTTCCTGTCCTGTCAGCCGTTATTCTGTGATCATAGCACGTGCTCTTAAAATGCACACAAAAGCACGCTGGCGTGCGCATTATTATTTTAAAGCGCTATATCATATTAAAGCGCAAAAGAAACTACGAGCATGCAATATCATAGGTATGTCGTCAGTTAAGCCTTGAAGTTACCATAAACGGCGATTAAAGCTGCCTTAAAACTGTGCATGCAAGTATTTGTTATATATGAGTCACATTTAAATGCAGTGGTTTTCCAAACTGTCCTGGAGCAGCAGCACTGTCTCCCTCATCTCACACACCTGATTCAACTCCTCAGCTCATTATAGAGACTTTAAGAGCTGAAGTGAGTCAGAAAAGGTAAAGAGTTATGAGAAACTATGATGCGTGTCAGATCCACGTCATGTTCAGCAGCGGCAGCAGCTATTAAAGCAGCCAGAATAACCTCATCACCAGCTGCTGTGATGCTGTTCATCAAACAACAAAATAAAAAGAGCTTTAAGGATTCATCTAGATTTCATTTAGAATTTAGCGTTTGATAGCTATTACATTTCTGTATATTTCCTACTTGCTGAGGGGCACAGGTAGCTAAATATGACATTTATTATAATGGGTTTATGTGAAGATTGTGTGCAGTTCACTAGAAGTTATTTTTTAAAGTCTAATAAATGTTAAAATTGATAGCTCTCAATTATAACTAGTCTGTAATGTTGAATGGCTATAGTCAGTGGTTAAATATGAGGGGAAAAAAACTATTTCCTAGAGACTTTAGTAATATTGGTTATCAGTGATACTCACCTTCAGACATAAAAAAAAGATGCCACTAAACAAATATTTTAAATATATATATACTGTCTTTATTTACTGTTGTTTCTACATTATTTTGAAGATTGAATGTGAAATTATTGCAATATAAAAGTATATTTAAAAAAATTAATGTTAGATGGGCTTAATCACGATTCATTTTTAGAAAAAATGTGCAATTAGTATTTTTTTTTAATCAATTGACAGCACTAATATGTCTACATAGTTGTTATTAGTTTCAGTTAACTATAAGAACCATGATATAGAGTTGTATCAAACAGATCATTGTCACACTGTGATGCTTTCAGAATATTAATCCGTTTAAGCAGCCAGGCATTTTGGGAAACCTGTTTGAAAGTCATTATTTTGCAATAATATAATTTTTGCAATAATAAAACTTCACACTTCACATCTGACCAGCTCTTTCAGATCTGACCCTTAAAACCGATTTTCAATCACATTAAAATAATCTCAGGATTGAATAAAACTTGACTAACCCATGAAGTGCATTTCTAGTCGACTAAACAGTTTACAGACAGACATCTGCGCTGCCAGAACCTGCTTCTGTCCAGATCACGTTTGATGTTTACACTGGCCAGATGCTTTATTTTTAATTTTTTTGGGTGACGCGCTGCACAAAAACAGCCTTTCGGACATAAAACTTAATGATGCTTCGCTGTTGTTTTTCTTTCCCCTTTCCTTTTTTTTTTTTGGCATCCTGAGGAGGGAATACCTGGCCCTGTTTGTCTGCAGGTGATGTATCTGCCCTCTCCTGGTCACAGCTGTGACACTCCAGCATGTAAAGTCACGGACATGCCTTCAGGGACACGCACTTATTATCTACCGCTCACAAAGACACTGCTTTTCATTTCAGAAGCACTTGCATATAACTCCTATTGCACACTAGTTCAGTCTAAAACCAGGTTCTGTATTAGTAACTTTCAACATCAGGACATTACATAATGTTTGGGTTTCTCCTCAGTCATGAGAGGTGTAAAGATGTGAATGTCAGAAGGGTGAGTGTAAACAACACGGATTACTCTGGAGAATATGATGAGCAGAAGGAAAAACACTCCTCGTTTAGGAACATAGTACTATTAAAATAAGCCTTGAATTGTGAAATATCAAATATGATTAACCAATTCCCACTTCTGTCACGCGCAGATCTCCTCTCCAGGCTTTACGCTCCACAAATCAGCCCGACTGTAATGCAGCGGGGTGTCTGTCATCATAAAGATGGCATCGACCTCTAAAGCAGATTACACACAGATCCCGGACGAGCGCGTCCCGTCTTCCTTACCGTTCTGAGATGATACATACGGGAGCATCACGTTCCCGTGGATGAGGAGCAGCGCGAGCATCCCCGCGTAGGACAGCATCCTGCGGGAGGACGGAGACGGGACACGGCGAGCAGGTGATGGACACGGAGCGGCTTCAGCCGCAGAGGATGGCGGAGGAGGAGCGAGGGCGGACGGCGAGAAACGCGACAGGCGCTGCGTGGCTCTGCTGCATGGAGGACGGGTGAGGATGAGGAGGTTGATGCTGTCCGGCGCTCAGGAATGCGGATGCTGATGCTGCTGCTGCTGGAGATGATGATGATGATGATGGGCCATCGGAGTGTCCGTCATCGCGGAGAACCTTCAGCTGTCAGGGGGCCTCGAGCGCATCAGCTCTGCGCAGCGGCCGCGCATGCGATTCATTGTGGAAGTCAAGTACAGAAATGTAACATTACAATACAGTAACACGAAATGCAATCAACATATATTTTCAGTGCTATCTTTAGATATAAAAAGGGACCGGGGAGGATTATTGTCACACTTTTTACTCCAGTTAATAGGCCATTTCTTTCCTGTAGGTTATTTCTGCAATGCAATTAATAGTAAAGACAAACTTTAAACAGTAATATTCCCAAAATTAATTCACCATATATTTAACTTGGGGAAAAATTATATTCAAATAGCGGGGCATTTTTCCCCCCAGCGAAATCAATAAAATCTAATTCAATAAAAGTGAACAATTAATGACCCCGAAAAATGCACAAAGTAACCTACATAAATGTCTAACCATTGTTTTGGCCAAAATAAATTATAATGAAAAAATTCCATAAAATTGCACAATTTTTAAAACGTTATTTAAAATGTGACAACTTGCCCCAAAGACCACATTTACAATAATACTTTTGTCCTGAAACACAGTTCAAGTCTGCTTTTTACTATAGCGACTCTTGTCTTAATGTCATCGTGGTTTTATTTTATTTTATTTATTTATTTAGTCATTTATCAGACGCTTTTATCCAAAGCGACTTACAAATGAGGACAACAGAAGCAATCAATTGTAGAATTAAAACAACTAAAAACAGATCCAAAACTAAAAGCTAAAACGGTATAAATACTACCTATACACATGCATATGCATATAACAAAATTTCAAAACTTATTTAAATGAAAAACAAAAAATAAAGCTAAAAACAATGCAAAATATTAAAGAACAAAAGGTATGAGTATAATAATGATTCTAACATAACACTAAGCAAAACACCAAAAACACAACTACATATGTGTGTATGTACAACCATACACACATATATATATATACATACACATTTATAAATTCAATATATATATATTATTTCATTTCCATTTAGTTTATTGAAGTATTAAAATAACTCAAATTAAATAAAACTAAAAACTTAATAAAATACCTATACAGACAGAATAAATTCAGACATAATTTAACTAAAATTAAAATAAATAACAAATACAAATAATACAAATCAAATGACAGTAGTTTATCAGTAATCCTACAAAATAACACTGCCAAACACACATGCTAAAAAACAACAACTTACTGACACATAGTAAGAAATGGTTATAACAACTGAAACAGAAGCGAAACACGTAATAGGAATGTTGAAGGTTTTATTGTATAACCCAACAAATGTTACATAAAAATGTATCCTGTGTCACTTAGAAATTGCTAGTAAATGTCACAAATAATTACATTGAGTAGGCTAACACATTGAATTAAATGTAAAAGCAGAAAGATTGAAATATATGTGCAACTTCATTTTTAGTGACACACGGTATGATTGAAACAAACAGAAGCATTTATGACTCGAAGCCTTTACTTTACTGAGATATAGCACTTGTGACAACTAGCCCCGACCTCCTTATACCATGGTACTGAATGATTATGATCCATGTACAATGGTATTCACACGGTAGGCTACTCCAAATCAAGTACTACTTCGCTAAATGTTGATAGTAGTAAGCATGGTAATTTGTGTTAATGTCTCAAGCGTTGCGCAGGATATTTATCTAGGGCAAGAAAGTGCATGTTATCCTCTGTATTCACCCGCTCACATTCACACAGCGCCATCTCATGGATCAAACACGAAATACAGTACAGTCTTTACTGTGCATTAATTATTTGCTCGCTTATATTTTGCTCATCTTCCTCTAACACTATTCGATTTGATGGAACAAAATATTGTGGCATTAAATAAAACAGTGGAAATATTATATCAAACATGTTTTATGATCTACTTTTGATTGTCAAGTTGACTAAATGTTCTATTTATTAAAAAGAATATTAATAATAATGACTTGAATGCATGTATGCACTACCAGTAAAAAGTTTTGACATAATTCCTCTTTATTATTTTAAAATTCTGGGATGTTTGTAAACTCTACACTGAAAATAACTTGGTGTAGGATTTACTTCAAAACAACTTTCATTCAGAAATTGCAAGTAAATTCAACAATAACTACGAGAAAATGCAAATTCATTTCCCACTGCAACTCATCCATTAAAGTTTAAGAGAATGTTAGTTTTGTAAAGCAATCCAATGCAAGCGCACTTTATTTTTGTTAAATGATAAAAGCATTTAAGCATAAGGAACATAAATTGAGTCTGTGTATTTGCTTATTGTTCACCTTCCTCCAACACTATTTCAAATATTGTGGTATTAAATAAAAATATTGTGATGTCAAATGCATTAATTTTATGATCTGCTTTTGATTATCGAGCTGATAAACTACTGTACTTATATCTTAATGCATAAAAATGTCAAAAGTTTGGACATGCCTAATCTTTGTTTATTATAAAACTACACATTCATGAGGTGCATTCTGGGATGTTTTTAAAAAATTTTTTACAAAAAAAAAAGTTTTATAAAGCAATTTAAACGCAAGCATTTTAATGTTTTTAATCCTATTGAAGGAGGAACATACATGCTGCACATCTGATGCTTTTGCTTCAATATCCTCTACAAACCAAAAAAAAAAAAAGTTTTACACAAACAATTTATATTTGACTACTAAACTAATTTCAAGTATTTAAGCAGACACGTTCAGATCTTTAGAGATTTCAGATTTAAGGTTTTGGGGAACATGTTGTGTCCGAGCTTTGTTTGCATATCTAATGATTGTTTTAAAAAAGCCCCCAGGAGTAAAGGGCATCCTAAACAATGCTTATGAGTTTAGAGTCATTGTGATGACACAGCATGTTGAGATCTGCAGTCAAGCTGATTTTCCCTCCACATTACTCAAGCATGTCAATGAAAGAAACATTTAAATGGAAGCCACACCTGCCGCCCGCCGCGAGCCAATGATCTGCAGCCGAGGGTTGATGATGACACGTCCACCTTTGTTCTGAGCCAATGGGAACGTTAAGGTCAGGAGGGGGAAAACTTGCCCCGGGATCAATTTGTCTCGCATCAGCGACCTTCTGCAAATGTGTGGGAGGAATTTGGCCAGCTCTCCTCTATCTTTCAGGTGTTGTTAGTATGGGAAGTCGACAACAATGGCTCACGAGACTGAAGAATGAGCTGAGCAACAGTCCTCTGGTGTCCAACGTGGCCTTCGGCTTCATCCTGATGGGACTGGAGAAGCTGGTGGAGCTGGAGTTTGAGTGTCCGTGTAATCCGGCCTGGAACGGGCTGTTTTCCTCCGCGTTCTTCATCATTCCCGCCATCATGGCCTTCGCGCTCATGATGATCATTCAGGGATGCAAGTGTGGCATCTGGTGCAGGAGGACCGTGTCCCTGTCCAGTTTCGTTCCCGCCGTGGTCTGGCTGATCCTGCTCTTTCTGGACGGTCAGTATTTTGCCTGCGCAATGACAGACTGGCACGGCAGGTTCGTGATTGTGGACAAAGCCGCTCCGCAGAAATGGTGCGAACCCATTCCAGAGGAGAGCGTCAGTCCTCAGGAACTCATGCTGCACTCACAGCGACTGTTTGTGGAGTCTCAGGTGAGACGTCTTGTGTCTTTACGCATCATTAGGCCTCCTGCTAACTCTCTGTAACTTTGAAATGACACCGATACAGTTTTAGATGCATTGATACATTTGAGGAATTTTGAGAACACATTTAGATTCGGTGTTAACATTTATAGATTTGTTACAGTCTTGACTAGATTCAGGCCACTAATGAAACTTTTACATTTACTTCTTCTTCTTTAGCCCAAGAATTCATTTTGTGCATTATAGAGGATGTACATGTTTTGTTAACGTGTCTATGATCATATAATGTGTGAATCTCACAAAAACATGTCTAGGTCACAGTTTCCCTCAAAATAAAATGAAAATAATATACTTTTGTTGTTGTTTAAAGACCAGGGTTATTATACAGCAGTTTACAAAAACTAAAACTACAAATTAAACCATTAAAAAAAGGTTAACTGAAATTAAATAAAATGGTGACATTTCTCAACTTGATTTGATGTACAAATATAACTAAAACAAAAGCTGAAATAAAAATGTATAAAAACTAGACATATATGAAAAAACGCTAATGACAAAATGACAAAAACACAACAAATGACCAAAACTTTAACTAAAATGAAAATGAAACGGAAAATGTAAAATAAAACTGATTCAAAATATAATGGTATCTATATTACACTTTTTTTGTTACACAACTAGTTGATTTTTAAGAGCATAAAGGTGTTTTGTTTTGTTTGTTTGTCTGCTCTTCATGACAATAAAACACTGTAATGCAACTAATATTCTATATTTTTTAAATATATAAAAAATATTAGTCTATGAAAAATGTATGTATTTTTATTAAATGTATAAAAGTTCAAATGGTTTTGAATTCAAATCAAAATAAAAGTACAAAAAACACTGCCATGATGTACGAATACTTTATATTTTAAAAGCAATATTAAAAAAAAAAGTTTAGTTTTTTTTTTTTTGCGACTCAGACACATTCAAGACGCATCTTTTTGTGATTCACTCATTTCACTGAGTCACAGATACACATGTCTAGTACTCTTTAAACATCTAGGTGAGCAGAACTACATGTTAGCCGTTACAGACAGCACTGTTCATCTCTCATTAACAGGTGATCGGCATAGTGCTGCTCATTTTGATCTGTTTTGGACTGGTCGTGTATGTGATCAGAGAAAGCTGCCAGCAGGAGCTGGAAACTCAAGATACCAATGTGGCAGAGATGACGCTCTACAGCTCCAGCTGATAGACACCCTTCCTCATCCGACTACAGAAAAGCACGCCATCTCCAGTCACTCTTTACATTACACTCTAAAAAATGCTGGTTAAATACAACCCAGTGCTGGGTAAAATAGGGACAAACCCAGCAATTGGATTGTTTTGACCCAGCGGTCGGGTTACTACCCAGAAGGTTGGGTTAAACATTTTAACCCAACCGCTGGGTCAAAACAGCCCAATTGCTGGGTTTGTCCCTATTTTACCCAGCACTGGGTTGTATTTAACCAGCATTTTTTAGAGTGTACAATGTTCATGTATTACTGCAATGAATAACACACAAGAACGAGAATGTACTTACAGGGATAGTTCATCCAAAAATGAAGATGCAGTCATCATTTACTCATGCTCATAATGTTACTTGTATGATTTTCCTTCTTCAGTGGAAGAAAAAAGGACAAATCCTTAAGCCTGCACTGATCGCTCTTTTCACTTCAATTAAACAAATGAGGACCAAAACCGTCTCCAAAACTGGTCTGTATGATTAATGTATGAATCAGATCTGATCACAAATGTTAAT